CACACACGGAATTCACACAGGTGTGCACAGAACTCACGGGCACACACGGAATTCACACAGGTGCGCACAGAATTCACGAGCACACACGGAATTCACACAGGTGCGCAGGAATTCACACAGCCATGTACACAGGCTCTTACAAGTACTTATACACACAGAGGAAAGCACACAGGTACACACACACACAGGTGTGTGCCCAGGTTTGCACACGCAGAGGTATGCACACAGGCACACACACATACAGCTTTGGTGGCTGTAAGCCCACTGAATGACCAGAAGGAGCCAGTGCCAGGGGCCAGGAGGCCATGGTGTGGAGTGCGGAAGCAAAGCCAAGCCTGTTCCTGCCCATGTGACGGTTTGGTCCCAGCTATGAAGTCAAGGGCTTGGGGACTGGCAAAGGCTCGTGTGTCCTTAGCTGCTTACTTCCTCATAGTCACCAAGAGGCCTCAAGGCTTCCCCTTCACAAGTCCCAGACTAGTGCCTGGCACACCGCACGGGCTCGGTAAACATCCCCCGATTAGATGCTACGGCGACTAAACATCCCCAAACTCCTAAGACCGCCTACTGCCTTTCCCGGGGGAGGGGCAGAGAGGGGTCCCGGCTGGACTTCTGCGGCCCCCGGCCCCCCGTCAGCAGGGATGAGGGCCGGGACACGTCAAGTTGGGGGCATGAGCACAGGCCCAGAGGTGCGGGCTGGTCCGGCTGTGCCCGCCTGGCTGGGGACCTGGGACAAGTCACTGGGAGTCTCCAGGCCCCGGTGGCTCATGAGCAACGGCTGTGAGGAGCTGGTACCCGCAACACCTTCCCACAGGGCAGGCCACCTGCCACTGCCATTTACACACAGAAAAGCTGCAGCTTGGTGGTAAAAGTTGTTCGGATGACAACTTTGGGATGATAAAGGCAGAGCCACAGCTGGGCCTGACCCTTGGGACTGGGGTTGGGTGTCAGCAGGGCCTGGGTTCCCACTGTCAGGACACACAGAGCACCCTAACGGGGGGGAGGGGAGGGCGAGCGGGGGAGGACACAGCACAACCCTGCATCAACCCAGGATGAGTTCTGGTCGCCATTTTCCTGTACGGCCCCAAGGAGCCACACTGGGACCAGGCCAGGACCTGAATCCGCTCTGTTCACGGGGTCCCTGCTCCTCCCTCTCCCAGGGCTGCTGCCTCCCGAGTCACAGGCCCTCACTAACGTCCACAACCTCCAGACCTGCTCCACGACCCCCGAGTCCCACTCCGTGAACCCCGGCCCCCACGCACGCAGCCCTTCAGCTTCCCAGGTGCCCGCAGAGGCGTGGTGCAGCCCGGGCTCCTGCGTCAGTGCCCACCGGGCACATCGGGCCGGCTCACTTCTCCTTCCTATTCTTGAACTTCCCACTGTGATGTCAGCGTCTGTCACAGGACTCAAGACAAGGCTGAACCAGGGAGAAGCTGAGCTCACCCCACTCAACCAGGAAGAAGCTGAGCTCACCCCACTTGACTGGGGAGAAGCTGGGTTCACCCCGCTCAACCATACTCAGAACCCAAGAGTCTGAGACCCAGACACACGGTTCTGAGGGAGAACACTAGGGGGACAGATGCCCAGGTGTCGCCGAGCTCACTGCCACCCCACGACCCACCACCCCAGGGGACCCTCTGCCACGGCTCTGAGACACGCCCGGAGCCGCCCTGGCACAGAAGCCTCCATGGCCTGGGGGTGGCAGGCACCACAGTACCGCAGGCTCAGGTGTTGGGGTCCCGCCCTGCTGGAAAGCCCCACATAAAGGCCGGTTAGCAGGTGCCGGGCAAACAGGCCCTGGGCCAAGGCCTCCGTGCCGGCCTTGGCCCTACCCCTCCCGGGGCAGCAGGGAGCTGCGTGGGCATGTGGCTGTCCCCCAGACCGGCAACTACAGGTGCTCGATGCTCCATGCTCCACGGGGGGCTGCAAACATTTGGGCCAGACGTACACACGCCACACACTGGACCTGCTCGGAGTCAGCTCGGCCAGTCCTACCACGAGCCGCCACCCTGCCATCGGCCTGCTGGCAGGAAAGCAGTGTTTAGGTGGGAGATGTGTGACCCTAGGTCACTGATGGACACTGCTCGTGAGGAATTAGGAAGAAAGGGAACCCAGCCCCCAGCTCCCTGGGCAGGGAATGTGCAGGCCAACAGGTGTAGACATCAGAGAAAGTGGGTCACGGAGAGTCCCGTGCTGTGGGGTGTGAGGGCCCCAGGAACTTGGAGGGTGCCGCTTGCCTCCACCTGGGATTTCTGCAGGTGGCGGGGCCCTTAAACAGGCAGAGAATGAAAAGGTGGGGGCCTGGGAGGAGACACTGGGTGGGTACCGGCCCATCACCTGGGCGGCCCCACTTGGAGAAGGCTGGAATGTTAAGGAGACAGAGCCAGAGGCAGCCAGAGCAAGGTGGAGGACGAGCTGGAGGTGGACAGGCCCGGAGTCACATGAGACACGCCTCCCCTCCCCGGGCCAGGTCCAGAAGAGCCAGATTCCAAAGATGACAGAGAGGCTAGGAGCACGGGACACGCCCTGCTACGCCAAGCCCTGGAGGGACCCGACTGCGGCTGCCCAGGCCGGACGGCCAGACTGCACGCCGCCTCCAGGAGGGGCCACACGGACATGCTATGCTGCCTCCTCTCCCTACGCCTCACACGGGGGCCGCCAGGGAGGTCATCTGAGAGACGACCAAGTATGCCCGGGCACTGGGCTGGCGTAAAGGACGTGACAACCACAGGAAGCCCCTCCCAGTTCCCCACTCCCAACTCGTGCCATGTGGCAACCTTCCCGCTGCCCTCTGCTCCTGCCCGTCCAGCCTCCGACCCCGGGAGCTACTCCCTGAGGTCACAGTCCCACTCAGGTCTCCTAAAGCGTAAGTGTGCCCCCAGAAATCCCTGGAGTCATGATCGACCTGTGCTGTGCGTACACTTTGTGTCCCCACCGGGGCGGTCGGCTCCTGGAGAACCAGGCGTTCTGTTTAAGGGAGGGTCCGTTTGCCGTAGTAAGGGGTCTCAAATGCTGCACCATAAGCAATAAGCCTTCTACTCAGACGTCTCAGATGTCCCAGATGTGGGTGTGACTCCCAGCTCCACTGAGCACTGTGTGACCTTGACCGAGTCATTTAAGCTCTCTGACCCTCCTCTATAAAATTGGGATCGGACTGGTACTTTCTTCAGAGTTTTTGTGAGGAACGAATAAGACAAGCTGCTTAGAACTGTCCCAGCACACAGTACCTGCTTCTTCGTTGTTGGCTGCTACCCCTCTCCCTCCAAAATCCGATTTGCCCGCTCCAAGGTGGGCCCGGGCAGCAG